TCTCCGATTCTACGTAACATATGGAAGATGACCGTAATAATTATTATCATCTTAAATTTTTGCTTCCTTTGATATCATTAAAAAATTCTATCGAGTGCCTTTCCTTATTAACTTAACATGGAGTGATTAATGAAGAAGAGTTTCCCATACGTTTCGCTTATGGGTGAAAAATTGAACTTCTAGCCGAACAACTCACCCAAACGCATTACTTAGAGCACATTCTAATAAGCAGAAGGCCTGGCCTTCAAGCTTCTTGGTATAAGTTGGTGACTACGGGACTATTGGAAATTCCGCCAAACAACTCATCCAAATGCGTTACTTATAGCATATTTTTTTACATACAGAAGGCCTGGCCTTCAAGCTTCTTGGAGTAAGTTGGTGACTACTGGACTATTGGAGTTTCCGCGGAACAACACATCCAAATGCATTACTTATAGCATATTTTAATACAGAAGGCCTGGAAGCTTTTTGGAGCAAGTTGACTACCACCAGTCTGATTAATCAATCACTCATGCTCTTCAAATGTCGAAATTTCAACGGTTCATTACGGCTATTATTTAACGATTAACGGGTGGCCCATCACGTTAACAACGATTACCAATTATTTCAAAATATTTACAAAAGACAATATTCGGAATTGTAAGGATAGCATAAAAAATCAATCAACCAAATAATTCACTAGATCGGCTGCAAAAGTCACCACTAATAGCAGCTATTTACGATTACGGTACAAAACAGATTAATTTATGATTCATTTTGTATGAGTAGGTGTAGAAAAATGTGATTATAAAATCTGCTAAACTGGGTTTTTTTTACCAAACTTATTCCAATAACAAATCCAGATTGTTCTATTCAAAGTTGGAAAATGCAGAAAATTACTGCAAGAGAAAGTGAAGAGTTTTTTGTTAATCTCCAAAGCGTCGCACACGCCTTAGTTGATAGTAACACGCCCTATATCATAAGATATAGAATATAATGTAAGGAAATTGCAATTTTTTTAAATGATTTCAGTTTACTGGCACATTTGCAAATCTATCACATCGATTTTTTAATCAGCTCAAGGTATTGATTGATATCACAAGCTCTTGCAAGTGGTTTTAATAGGAAGATCGGAAAATTAATTGATCTTTCTTGACATAGGGAATCTAAAAAGCTCATATCTTAATCTTTATTGACGTAGGGAATCTAAAGTGCCCCAAATCGTTGACTTTTGTATTTCTATTGTTGAAATCAGACGCGCATCTTAGTAGGAAAAAGGACATAGTACTTTAGCTTCGGCATAAACCGAAAGGGAATAACTGCCAATAGTTATATTTCCAGACTTTCTTCTCTTTATGTCATTTTATATCTTATTAACTCTCCTTATATTGACTAACCACCAAATCGAGCTTTAATTCAGCTAAAAAATTTGTTGTCAACAATTTTCTAGAAAACAAAAACAAAAAAAAAAAAAAAAATTTGGTTTAATAAATAATTCAAAAATACTTACATAATGAAATCTTAGATATAATTTTGATCCGAGTAGAAGCAAAAAATCACTATGGATATTACACAGCTTATTGAAAAGATTCGCCATCGTTTGAAGCAACAAGTAATATATGTAAGAGACATACATAAAAGTGAACAAATTCTCTTACATCTGCTGATGTGTAAAAAATATTTCTTTTGCCGTAATAGCTAACTGAACGTAACGTCCAGAGCAGCTCTGTAGTAACTTTGAATTACTCGGTTTTTTATTCGTACATAACATTACCTAACGACTTAACTTTGCACGTATAAAGGACTTTGATATTTAACACTAGTTTAAAACACATGTGCTGGCAATAGGCGTTGCACACTTTTCTTTTAATATAAAATATGGGTTGGAGTGAAACCGAAAATTATTCATTTCTTTCAACCATCAATCATCAAACTCGACAACGCAAAGGCAGCGTGAACGGCAAGTGTTTAAAAGTTTTAAATGACGTGCAGCAAATGTCGAAAGTGATCAATTGACTAACTTTTCCTGTGATAATAACGATGTGTATATTTCATAAGGATAGTAGGGAAGTTTGTTGGTGTAGTGTGCATTTGGGGGCCACTCTAAGACAAATGAGTAGAAGCGAAACGGCCGAGTAGCCATATCAAAGGACATAATTGGTAAGCAGATAAAAAAAACATAAAAGTTCGTCGCTTGTAAGGATCTGAGCTCTTCGCCGCACGCAGTGGGAAACCTGAATGCAACACTTAAAAGTTATAGCAAATGTGTGCCACTTGCAGACTAACTTGGATTGAACGAAAGCTGCGAAAATGTCCAACGGATTTCTTCTGGCCCATAAAATCAAGCGCTGCCGATTCTTTCACATTAATACCACTAAGCGGAAGGAAGTGCTCGTTAGTTCAAAATACAACCCTGTCGTCGGCTAAAGTTGAAGTCGTTTGAAATTATTTGCTCGACGCTAGTCAAAGATTTCAATGAGATCACGATTGAGTGTTTATTTGTGGTTGCTGCATGGCCTTGCGTTAAAAGAGAAGGACCGGCTCAACTCCTACACTGCACAATGAGAGAAAAGGCGGCATAGTTTGTTCTCTTTCAACGAAAAAGCATGAAGCACCGGCAAATAAAAGATAGGTTATGAGTGTGACACTCAATCGCTTAATGCTAACTCTCTCCACCACGTAAATGAAATAAAAAAAAAACACGCAAATATATATATGCATGCCTACAAACATATATAAATCTCAATATATATGTATATATAACTCAATGCGGCAAAGAGTTCGTGAGAGCTCAGTTGGTAAAAGCACAACGCTTCACGATTGTGCGCACACTCATTGGGCTGCTATCGTTTCCCTATCTCCTTTTTCTTTCACTTCTCTCCGATCGTCGCCATATCACACGAATAGACAACATTTGAATAAAAAAATGTTCGGCTGCGATTGAAACTTCCACACCGCTTTGATCTTACAAAGAACTTATATAATATTACATGAAGATGACTGTAGAATCACCCTTACAATGTAGACGGGCGTTCTCAGTCTATGTTGTTTTCCGGCCGTGTCCCTTGAACGATTTATCTTATTTTCAATAGCAACCTAGGTGCTAAAGATTTCAATGGGTTTGACGATATCTGAGTAGACGATGTCTTACTACCCGAAAGTTTGCCGCAGATATGGTGCAGAACGACAGCTGGTTCCACTAACATAATTAAATCAATTCAGAACTTGGTAGTGATCAAGAGTGTATAGCGTGTCAAGTTTCTTTTGAAGAGCTGCAAACAAATTGAGAAAATGAACATATTTGGGTCTTTCGGTGGTGGGAATAAAACGCATAGGCATGGTTGAAAGCAATTTTGGCGATTGAGTAAAGAAGGTAAACCATATTCTGGTAAAGTCTTTTATCACGCACCGTCATCTCCTGTTCTTCATCGTTGGATAAAGAAAAACTCGTCTATCATATGTTTCCATTGTCCTTCCTTAATACAATTTGGCTTCGCCTTGTAGATCATTATAACTGTAACTGTATTTGTATATTCTTTGGTTGTCATAATCCATCTTAACGGAGTTTCCCATGAAAACGATAACAACCACTTTGAGGTCGCAATGGTATCTGGGAGAAATGGAATGACAGGCATAGAAAAAGACTGAATTTTACAAATCGATTGAATACTATAAAGAGTAAGTTTCCTGTATGTGGTCTCTAATGCCCAATTCTTTCCATACATACTTAGGCCGAATGTACTGATATGACGGATATGAAAATTCGACAAGTGGCCAACTCATTGTAAATACTTAAAACATTTCATAACAAGTTTTAACAACATTTTTCTGCTTCGTTTTAAGAGAACACAAGTTTCTCTTTCCAAAACTTTTACACTCAAGAGCAAAACTGAATCATCGAATCACTAACACTAACAAATTCTTAAATAACTGTAGAACGCATTGTAAGCAGCGGCATGGTTCGAACTTAAAGTTAAGTTGCTAAGTTTTATACCCTACACTTCTTGTGGTACATGTTATATTAAGTTTATGCAAGCTTATGTAACACGCAGAACACCTTATATTATACAGATCTAAATCTATTTGTCCATCTATTTGTCCGTCTGATGTCTGTCCAACGATATTCTCATTCAAGCTACAGATCACAATTTTTAAGATATTTTAATGAAATTTGATGCACTGACGTGCCTTGGCCAGGCTATTGAAAATAGTTTTGATCAGTTCATTGTTTCGAACACTCCCCTATGGCTCATTTGGAAAAGTCGTTATATGGAAAACAATTGCAATTTTGACAATTTCTCGACAAAAATCGCTCTGCAATAGTACTTGAACATTCATATAATAGTTCCTACGGAAAATGGATCTTTGTATAGTGAAAAGATATAATTTTTAATATTGCAACAGTAAATTGACATAGCAGTCACAGCTTTATTGAATTTCGGTACCATCGCATATAGGGATTCTTTCCATAGGCGCGCTTTCATGAAAAGTACGCCTTTGCAAGCCTTTGCAAACGAGCGAATAATTGTGTTGGGCGCAGTGGTGTAGGGTATCTAATAATCTATATCTTCATAGTTCATAGACTGTAATCTTTTTACCCGTTTCTTCGCAGAGAATCTATAAACATCTTAGTTAAATAGAACCTCATGTAACTCATCGGTAATATTTAAACGTTTCTAAATTTCGATCGATGTTCACACATTTGTAACGAAAACATACAACAATTTTGGGTACTTTTTGAGATTGATTTGCAGCCTAGTTTCAATTCTTGGCTCTTGAATTCAAAGCGATAATCAAATTGATCCCGATTCCACTCTATATAATCAAAAAAATGTATGTATAACTTATAGAGTTTCGACTATCCCTTTCCCGGCACGAAAAAGATTTTCTATTGCAAAAAGTATTGTCCGTGCAGGGAATACATATATAAAGATTATTACTGAAAACTTATCGTCTTAGATTAGATAAACGATATACGATGTCATATTTAAGATCGTAAGAAAGCATTCGCATTCACTTACAAACATCCAGTTTGTGTGGTAATACATGTTGCATTCTGTGTTGATTACAACTTACAACACTGTAGCGATAAACAGTTGTTATAATGCATTCACTGACTCTCTTGCTCTTTCTTGCTCCCTCTCTCTCTCTCTCGCTCTGAAAACAGAGTAAAACAACAGAGTGCTTGCGTGTTCTATATTTAAAAAAAACAAAAAACCAAAAAAAAAAACGCAACAAATATTTTTCGTTTAGATCGTTTTCACTTCTTTAAAACACAATTTAACGAAAATTACAAAAAAAGAAAAAAAAGAAAAAAAACAGAAATTTTGTCGCGATTTTAATTTTATTTGAAACTCACAACCGCTCGAAACGAGATATATACAATCAAATAAAAGTTGAACAACTGAGCCACAATGTAAGGGCAAATGTAGAAACATCTTATAGATAACACAACACAATCGATTCAATGGAGTAAGTAAATAAATGGCAAAAAGAGACTTTGCATTAATTATATTCAATTCAAGTCGAATCATTGTTGCCTACCGTTTGCTTGCACGGTAACTTCTCTTGGGAAATATTTCAACGATTTGAAAGTTCTCTGTAATATGGAATTTGGAAATGGAAAATGTTAAAAAAAGAAACGGCTTGTGTGGGCAAAACAAGAACCAAATCAAATTTGTATTAAAAATTACTCGAAACCCTTTCACAAGAAAGCACAACATTACCAATTGTCTCCTATTTACTACTATTGTGAGTGTGTGTGTTTTGTAAGTACATATAGCGAATTGTTAATGCCATGAGGACGAGCAAACTTGGTAAACTTAAGGCAAAATATTTGATACACCATGGGATCTCTTATCCTTTTTTGCATAATTTTTACAAGCTTGATGACAAAATGAGCGAGATATTCGCTTGAAAATGCATTTCCATCACTATTGAAATGAGGAGAATGACATGCTATCACGTCATTTGTACACTACTAATATAAATGTTTGTATGCAAGGCAAAGGGAAATTCTGCATACGCCATACGAAGAACTATGAATCGCTTGTTCACCTAGTTCCTACACAATTTATTCCCAATTTTTGACTACACATTTCCCAGTGATTTTTTGAAAATATTTCTTCTCTCTTACTAACTAAATGTATATATATTGGAAACAAAGTGCCTGAAAATTAATCTATTTTATCTTTTTTTTTTTTCTAAAAGGTTTTCTTCTCCGTTATGATGGGTTCAATGAATCTTGGTATGGCTTCGCCATATATTGAAGCTTTCGGTATTGCCAAAGGCGCTTGCGCGAAAGTTTTCAATTTAATCGAAAAAGAACCTACGATTAATCAAATTAAGGCGATCGGAAGTACTTTAAATCAACCCTTAACTGTTTTGGAATTCAAGGATGTCGATTTTCACTATCCTACACGTGAACGGATGAAAGTATTGGATAAGTTAAATTTAAAAATCAAACGTGGACAAACAGTCGCTCTTGTCGCACCTTCTGGTTGCGGCAAATCCACCTGCGTACAATTGATACAACGGTTTTACGATCCTCAAGGCGGTGCCATCCATTTTAATGATGTAAATTTAAAAGACATTAACATTAACTGGCTGCGAGAACGTATTGGTGTAGTAGGTCAGGAGCCAATTTTGTTTGGCACCACCATTTACGAGAATATTCGTTACGGACGTGAGGATGCGACGCGGGAAGAAATTGAAGCGGCTGCCCGTGCCGCCAACGCTCTAATGTTTATAAATAAATTACCGAGAGGTTTATTTACTATGGTTGGCGAAAGGGGAGCCCAATTATCTGGTGGAGATGAGGAACAAATAAAATTTCCGCGAAGAAATGACGATGAAGATGGAACAGAAGCAAAAGAAAACAAGAAAACAATGACTTATTAAAAAATAGGACTTCTGAGATGCACTTTGGTCAGTCTCAAATACAGTGCATATTCTTAGCAAAGTTTTTATCTTCTATTTTTACATGTGATATGGGTGATGGATGAAATAAATAAAAATATTTAACAGATGTCAAGTGAGTCTCATTTCATTTGATATGCCTTTAATTGTTTCTCCAATTTCTGGAGTGAACTCTTTGCAAGATACAAGCGTAGTTAATGTGCTTTAAAATTGACTTTGAATTTCGTTTTTAATTTACGGCATACGGCGACGAATAAAGGCAGCTTTCTATTGTTTACGATCTATGTATTAAACATTATCAACAAAAAATCGCAGATTTCCACTTACTATTAACGTAAGAAAGAGATGCAATGAGAGATAATACAAAACTGCCTCTCAGCTGTTTAAATTACATTATGGGCTTTACATTTAGGTTTACAGTCTAACACAACGACGCAAAATCGCCAATGGACCAATGGAACACAAAATCAATTGCTTTTTTTTAACTTGACCTCTTGAGAGAGAAGTGATAGGCGAGGGCAAGATTGTTCGACATCATTAAAGTAGATAGACTTTGCTAATTAAGTTTCGATGGTTGTTTTCTCTGGTCTTTTAATAAACAAATTTAAATATCAAGAAGGGTTTGCTTTGTCATACTGGTCAAGAATACATACATACATAGAGACTATGGGACAAGCATTCATGACAAATCTAATATACCTGCTGCGCTTGCCATTTTTCATGCGTTCTCTTCGTAACAGGTGAAATAATGAACTCCACGTACTCTTTTTGGATCATTGGTATAATTCTATCCCCCAAGCATCGACGTCAAGACGAAGCAAAAAGAATTAAGAGAATGAAGTTATATACTACATTATATAGCTTGCATTGTAACCTATGTTAATACATGTCAACATATTCTTTTACTTAAAATCGGCGCCTTAGGCGCAAAACAAAATGCTTGTGTAATGCGTTGTAAGTAACTCACGAATAGTCAAAGTAAAATTGATTGTATGTACTTGAATTGTACATGAACACAAAAATTGTGTTCCGTTGTGCGTGAACGCAAAGCATTGATGTATTTATGAAAGTAAAACCAAGTCATATGGTTCATCTTCCAGGCACAACATGATTTTAAAGCGATCTCTTAGATTTCTATTAAAAACATGTAAGAAAATTATAATCGCTCTTGACCGAATCTTTTATACCCATCGCCATCGTTATCGCGAAAACGATGAAAAAAGTACAGTAGTAAGAGTATTTCCATGCTCTAAAACATGGAGTGGGTGCGGCCGATTTTTTCTGGTTTCAAAATAAAAGTTTTTGTTGAATACGCGTCTAGCGACGTTGGCAAAGTTTGAGTCCCTTCCAAATTCTTTTTCAAGTTTCTAGGTGATATCGTCATTTTTGCGAATCGGAGATTGCTGGCCGCAAATACTACACAGTTGGGCGGATTGATAAATAGACAGACGGACATGTTCAGGAGCTTTCAAAATTTGCAAGTGACCAAGAATGCCACTTTGAAATTTGTTCCTACGTCTTATAAAGGGATTTAAAAAAAAATTGAAATTTGATACACTCCGATGTCGGGTAGGCGTAATCAGCTATTTCCATTTTTGTGTAGGTTCACAATTTTCCATATTTATCTGCTATAGTTTATAAGTAATGGGCAAAACACCAAGTTTTCATTCCCTTTGAAAAGCAGAGATGTTCTCAGTTTACGTCGTGCTGTGGGCTTTAATCTTCCTTCCACCAATTTGATCCATTTTGAAAACCAATCGGGCGCGCAAAAACTTCCAATGTTTCTGTCAAATTTGAAGTCCATAGCTTCATTTTTGCCGCCAGGAGAATGTTTACAACAGACGGACAGATGGACATACTTAAATCGATTTAGACAAAATGGGTATATCCCTCATGCCTCGGTAACGAGGATAAAAAGAAAAAATTAAACTAAGATATATTGCTATCTAAAAAGAAAATAGATTGTGTTCTGCTTTCAAAAAAGTCATTTTTCAAAGAAATTTCTTGTCTTCATTAAGGCGTATGTAAACAAACTCTACCCACATGATGCGGGCCAAAGCCACGCTCAACGCAAACAATGTGTTGAGCGCTTAAAGCCAATAAACCAGAAAATGTTCTTCTCTTACTAAACGTCAAGAATTAATAAAAAAAAGTTGATAAATTTCAATTTTGCTCCATCGAAGTGTTAAACAATTTTGCTAACTTTGTTAATACACTTTGGCAAATGCCATATGTTTTGCGAAACGTAACTCTTGTTAACAAATTTAAAAGATACTCTTCCGTTTTGCGGCTCTGTTCACGCAAAGCGTTAATTGCACATTGCAGAGAACTCGGAAAACTTCAATTAAAAGTGCGATCTAAAGAGAAAAAATTTTATTAAAGTGAGTAAGATTTCTCTCATATTAAGAGTATTTCGAGAGACAGTAGTTGTGGTCGGTTTGGATCAACATATGATTCAAAATGAAAGCTAAGAGATTAAGAAATAATATACAAATGTGCAACAGGTGTGGGCTAACATTTTAAACCCCCTTCTTAAAAAAGGAACTTACGAAAAAAAAATTTTTACTCGACAATGGGATGTAATTTTTGATATTTTATGGCGAAGGCAAGTGAATCAAAGAATTGTATGAGGAAAAATTGTGAAAAGTGCTGCTCTAACTTGGTGGTAACTTGTTTTCGAGAATATCTTCATAGAAGCGAAATTGGATCCGAAGTTGTTTTAATTTCACATTCTTCATATTGTTACGGAAATCCCAAATCCAGTTTATTCCAATTAATTAATTAATTTTCTCAGAAAATAAATTTACGAGATAGAGAAAAACCAAGTTCAAATTCATGGAGCGTCATACTGATACCATGCAGTTAGGTAATAGTGTTAGACTATTGCGGAAGGCATGGTCAGTCAGACAAGAAGATTTGAGCCGAGAAAGAGTAATAGAGTGGATATGTCGAGAGTACTGCCAAAATAAATTGGGAATAATCCCACTCTTAAGGGAATTTATTGTAAATAAAAGAATCGCGAAGTGAAAAGGCGAATTTCGTAACAAGCAATGTTCTGTGCCATATTTCAGTCTCATTTTTGCCACTGTATCCTATGGCTTTGCACATGTATATATAAGGAAGGCGTAACCCATATTGGAGCACTTTGCCAATAGAGAAAAATTAAATTATATAAGTGGTAATGATCTGAACAGTGTTGCAAGGCCATTTAAAAAAAATGCTCCTTCTATACATCGAATATTTTCCTTAGGTAAATATAATTTGCTTATTTACTTAGAAAGCATCAGCGTCTATAAAACATGGACTTCGAGCACTTACAAGCCCTTCTTCTTTGGAAATTATAAAACATAAGCAACCGTAATTGTTTTCGAGAATTATAGGCTGTGATGATATCAACAAAATTATTTTAACCGAATTTGATTAAATTAATTAAAACACTAAGCCAACCAGACTGCCCTATGGGTCGGACGTTACAGCAGAATAATTTTTATTTAAATTAATAACAATAAATTTTATTCGGTAGCATTCAAAAAACGTTTTGGGAAATCGAAATCTAAGCGAATGGAAAACGTGCCACATTGCTCAGAGCAGAAGGCCGAAGTGGAGCATAAACCGAATGAAACTCCGTTTTCTCGTTACTCAGAAATTATAAAAGATTGGATTCTGACATTTACCACATTTACTTTACGAAGGAAGCACTCTATACCCTACATGGAAAATGAAAAATATCAGCCCCGCCCACATAAAGTTGCAAGTTATTAACTTATATATTTGTTTCACTTTTTTAAGGTTTTAGGCTTATTTACCATAAGTCAAACAAGATAGAATGTTTAAAACTACTTTCTACATTCCTCAAATTTTATCTGCTTAAATATGAGTTAATTCTAAAATGAATATGGTGGACATCGCGATTAATTTCTTCTTAATAATGCCAGCAGTATGGGTATCAAATAAAAGAACTTGGAGAGTGGAATGCGGAAAGCATAGTGGTGGATATGCGAGATTCGTCGCCTGCCGAATATAATTTTCTTACTTATTTGTTTCTTATTTTAAATAGTCCTCCGCTAATACTTGCCAAGGCATCTTGGTGAATGAAAAATCTCTTTTGAAGTGAAGTGATCACCATCTCTTTATTTGACTTGGTTAATTGTGTGTTCATCAGAGGGCTTTAACAGCCTACAAAGCAGCGGTAAAGAGTAAATTTGAAACCGTTCGCAAATCTTTGTTAAGAAACTGCTATTCTCGAAGAAAGCCAATGAAAATAGAGCGTACTAACATTTCCAGTTTGATTTGGTCTCCGTGTACAATAAAAATCGATGTGGAGTTTCGCGATGTCTGCCCTGTACGCATAATCAGACGGTCATCTCATGCCAAGTGGCGCGACGTGGCACATAAACATGCCATCCTTCTGGAACTTCATCAGATGTGAGAACCACGATTAGCAAGTCAGCGTTCGCGGACTCAAATCTTAAGTGCGGTAGAGTTTTCTTTAGCCGTAACTGTCGTAAGTCGGTATATGCCCACTAGGGTGTGGCCACCACCTCACTATTTATTTCTCTTTCTTCTCTAACAGTCGTCTTATTTTATTTAACTTGAGAGACGAGGAAAATAAATAAGTTAATTGGATAAAGATAAAAATCATTTGATTATTATTTCAATACCCTATAGAAATTCAAGATATTAATAACAAAGAGAATTGAAAAAGTGAACGTTCTACAGTTAGTGGCAAACATATCTAACTACTCTTCAATTCCAAAACTTTGTTAATCGTATTAATATTTAAATAACGACGTACACACACACACACACACGCATACACGTAGTATACTTCTGTAAAAGCACTAAGCCTAAAAGTAGACAATTGCCTATGAATATCTACGCACAGAGATAGCGTCATCCGCGATTCTATTAAACAATTACTTTTAAATATCATATTTTTTTTTTTTTTCTTCATGTACAAGATTGCCTGCATGCACACTGTAGTTGCTTGATAGGGAGATATGTGCACGCGAGTAATGATGAAGAAGCGATTTGGTAGTTAGTCAACTTAGCTTATCAGGAAAAACAAAAATTGAACATACATCGGATTTTATGTCTACATTAGACAAAAACTGCGTACTTGAAAAATTAGTTAATACAGCGAGATATATATATAGAGATAGATAGATAGATAGATAGATAGACAGACAGAGAGAAAGAGAGAGAGAGAGAGAAATAAAGAGAGAAAGAGAAAAAGAGTAGCAGTTAGTAGAAATATTTGAACAAATTGTTTAAAAAAGTTAACATGTTAAATGTGCCTGTATGTGTTGTATTTATTGAAATTGAAATAAAGTAATCAAAGGGGAGAAGATGTTCAGCACAAGGACAAACATGGATGGAGCGAAAGGAATAATAAAACTTTTTTTTGGAATACAACATCTTCATAAAAATTGTTCTTTATCTTACCGGTTTGGCTTTTG